AGCTGCTGCTGGAAGCTCACCTGCACCAGGTGCGCTCGCAAGGGCTGGACCCCCAGGCCCCGCCGCCGCTGCCCCCCGACTCCATGGAGGTGTTGCCCCCTCCCCAGGAAATCCAGGACTTCTTGGAGCCCCCCTTGGGCTTGGAACCGCACCTGGGGCAGAGCGCGGGGGTGCAGGGGCCGCCCGGGCACCTGCTGGACCCCGAGGGGGGGGTCCCGGCCGTGCCCCCCGAGGCCAAGGACCAGTTTTCGGAAGGGGGGAGCCCCGCGGGGGGCAAGGGGCGATTCGTGCCCCTCACGTCCATCTGCTTCCCGGACGCTCTGCTGCAGGACGAGGACCGCGGCTTCTTCCCCGGCATGGAGGACATGTTCGGACCCCCGCCCGAGGATTTCCCCAAGCCCGCCGAGGAGGAGGAGGAGGAAGGCAACGCCAACGCGGCCGGGCTGGAGGCGCGGCCCGAGGGGATGAAGCCGCCCCCTCCGTACGATATGGGGCAGAGCTACCCCTCGTTCTGCCCGCAGGACGGGGGGGCTGCCGGGGACCCCCCCCAGCTGGGGCTGGAGCCCCCCAAACACGAGTTACCCTCCACGGTGAACGCGGAGCCGCTGGGCTTGATCCAGAGCACGGGCGACGGGGGTCCCAAACCCCCTCCTCCTCCCCTCAGCACCCCTTTGTTCTGCTCCTCCAAACCCAAAAAGCTGCTGAAAACTTCCTCCTTCCACCTGCTCCGCAAGCGGGACCCCTTCCCACCCCCCAAAAAAACCTACGCGCAGGAGTACGAGTTCGAGGATGATGAAGATAAAGCCGACGTGCCCGCCGACATCCGCCTGAACTCGCGGCGGCTCCCGGACCTGCTGCCCGACCTGATCTCCAGCTGCCGCCGCCCGCCGCTCACCCCCATGGGCGACATCGATTTCTGCCCCCACCCCGGCGCCCACCCCGCTCCCAAGAAGCGCGGCCGCAAACCCACCAAGCCCAAGCGGGAAGGGCCCCCCCGGCCCCGGGGCAGGCCGAGGATCCGGCCCCTGGAGCCGCCCGGCTTCCCCGAGGGAGCCAAGAGACCGCGGGGCCGCGGCCGGGGCCGGGGCAAGAAGGGCGGAGAGGACGGGGAGGGGATGGAGCCGCTGCGGCCGCTCAAGGTGAGCGCCGGGACGGGCCGGGGTGACCCAAATTGGGGTTTGGGATGGGCCGGGGTGACCCAAAATTGGGGTTTGGGATGGGCCGGGGTGACCCAAACTGGGGTTTGGGGTGGGCCGGGGTGACCCAAACTGGGGTTTGGGATGGGCCGGGGTGACCCAAACTGGGGTTTGGGGTGGGTCTGAGTGACCGAAATTGGGGTTTGGGATGGGCCGGGGTGATCCAAACTGGGGTTTGGGATGGGCCGGGGTGACCCAAATTGGGGTTTGGGGGGTTTGGGGTGGGTCTGAGTGACTGAAATTGGGGTTTGGGGTGGGCCGGGGTGACCCAAATTGGGGTTTGGGATGGGCCAGGGTGACCGAAATTGGGGTTTGGGGTGGGTCTGAGTGACCGAAATTGGGGTTTGGGGTGGGTCTGAGTGACCGAAATTGGGGTTTGGGGTGGGTCTGAGTGACCGAAATTGGGGTTTGGGATGGGCCGGGGTGACCCAAATTGGGGTTTGGGGTGGGTCTGAGTGACCGAAATTGGGGTTTGGGATGGGCCGGGGTGATCCAAACTGGGGTTTGGGATGGGCCGGGGTGACCCAAATTGGGGTTTGGGGTTTGGGATGGGTCTGAGTGACCGAAATTGGGGTTTGGGATGGGCCGGGGTGACCCAAAATTGGGGTTTGGGATGGGCCGGGGTGACCCAAA